TTTTTTTTTTTTTTTAAAAAAATGGGTAGACCCACTATGTTTCCTTCAAAGAATACAAACATTTTCAACCAATGAAAATGCTCAACCAATCTGCTCTACCTTTTAAGAAAAGATCAAAAAACATGACCAATGCAAAAAGAAAAAAAATGGAAGAAAAAAAGAGTATCAGAGAAATAGAAAAACATGTAAAAAATATGCAAAAGCCAAGGAAGATGCTTTGAGGTTCAAAGCATTAAAGCACAAAGAGGTACAGCATTGAAATAATAACAAAAACTGGTTGTTGACTGTTGTGTGTTTTTTAAAGGTTTCTTTTTCAATAGCAGAATAAAAAGATTCTTGATTATATGGATTATCTTCTCTTTTTTTCCTCATATCAAAGGTATTCCATAGAACAGATGCCAAAAATTGAATGGCGAGCATCAGTGTCTCTGAAATATGCAAAACAAAAAGGCAACAAGAAGATAAGAAGACAGTTTTGAAAAGTTAACTTCAAAATGTAAAAGAGGTGACTACAAAAAGCCAAGAAAAACACAGAAGACTTTAGATGGAGGTACAGAGAAGGGCTGGATTGCAAGACCAGAAGAGCAAAAGTGTTCTTTAAAAGGAAAGCAAAGTACTGCATTGAGATTGAAAAAAATAAAAAAATAAAAATGCCCAGGCTGTAGCAAAGACAGGTCTTTGGCAAAAATACTGAAATTACAGCAATGCTGGGTAAAAAGATGAGCAGAGAAAAACGTATAACTGTTAGCTTATCAAAAGACAGCGGACCGAGATTGCATCACAAGGGTGCAAACTGACGTAGCAGAGGCAACATACCATCTTCATCGGTTCGAATCAACACGGACAAGCTCTCGGGACCAGGGCCGACATCGGTGTGGGCTGTCACAGTGATCCGGTATTCAGTCCATTTTTCCAGCTGTTCCAAAAGGTACTTGGTAGTGTCCGAAGGAATTCCCAAAATCTCATGCGGCTTGTCATCTTCGCCATCCACTGCAGTGTACTTGATGGAGTACTCAGTGATAATGCCATTCTGCTTTTCCACTGGTGGAGGTTGCCAACTTACCAAGATACTAGTGGAACTTGGGCTGGTGCAACTAATGTCTTGAGGAGGAGCTGACGGCTCTTATTTTGGTAGTGAGTTAAAGGAGGATTTGAGTGAAAGGACAGGAGTGGTTGGGGAAAAAAAAATGATAAAACAAAAGAAAAGGCAAAAATAAATACACGAACAATCAGGGCAACAAAACGAAAATAAGGCTTCAAAACTGAAATTTTTAAAGACAAATTTATGTACCTTGGCTTAGTAATATGAAGAAACCAAAAAAAAAAAAAAAAAAAAAAAAAAAAAAA